GTAAGATTATTACTTCAGTTAATAAAGTAGTTGAGTTGGTACGAGTTGTATCCTACTGGCCATTGAGAAAATACCGTAACAGAGAAAACGCAGTCAAATGTGCAGTTGAAATCAACTAGAACTAACTCATTGAGGTATGGTATAATCTATTAAATGCAAATTCTTTACACAAATTACCCAGATACTTACAACCTCGTTCCCAGGGCCTTTTCCCTTTCTCGGGGGTAGCGCCCACCTCCAAGAAAGGGAGAAAGTGCACAACCGCCATTTGACCACAAATTAAACCGACGATTACGTAGCGGTGGCCGGCAAGGGGGGGAGGGGGAGGGGGTTTCCCTTGGTTTTCTTTTTCTTTCCCACTTTATTTAAAGACAGTTTGGCTCAACACAGGAAATTGACCCTGTTTTACAAGTTACACATATTTGCTGAACATTTTGTGGAAACTGATTCGCACGTCTGGATTTTTATAACGTAGATAGGAGAAAAGGACGGATTAAATCTAGCATCACATTCAAATAAAACGTCGACATTTATTTAGTAAAATGTATCAAAGATGCAATTATAAAGCATTAAATCACGTTTTTCATTCAAACGTGTTGGAAATACCGGTTTCGCCGAAAAAAGAAGGCGGAAGGGGTGGTTTAAAGAGAAGGTAGCAAGAAAGTTCTTATATTTATATGACTTTACTCAGTGACATTTTTTTTTCTCAAATACTTTTAACAGCAAATAACAGTCAAAGTAAGTGTATCCAGAAGACTAAGGAAACCTCCCAACACGTTAAGGCACAAAGAAGCACCAAAGCTATCCGGAAGAATGAGAAAAGCCAACCACATTTGGCCTGCTCTGCATTAGCTACAGTCGACCGATTAACCCCTGAAAAGATGATTCCTTCACAAGTCTTGGACCATGTTGCTCGAATACTCGACGAAGCCATTATTTGCCATCAGGGTGACGATATCGTTGGTGCCAGAAAAAGTATAACAAATCTTTTTACAATGATGGTGATGAATCAGGCGCAATGCTTTGAATTTCCCTCTAAGTATGGCTTGAACGTTCTAGATCGTGGAAGAAAACTTTTTCTGGAGGAGGGTGTGAGTTGTTCGATAAAACACGGAACTTTACTTTTAGATTCAAGTTTGAATGGAGCGCAGTTTTACTCTGGGTTACTAAACGTCATGGGGGCATTTGCCTTGCTGATTTCTGAATTTAAAATTGCGAAAGGAACTTTTGACCGGCTTATCGATCTGCATCACCAATCAAATATTACTAGTCGTTTACGTGACCTTGCTGCTGCCTACAACAATAAGGGGTGTATACACCTGATCGTTGGCGATTTGCGAGAGGCAGAAGAAGCGTTCGAAACTTCTCTTAAGTACCTTGGCAATTCGAACGGGCCGTCAAATGTTACAAAAGTTTTTGCTGTAAAGAGCAACATGAGCCGGCTAAATCTGGTTTTTAGAAAGTATCGTCAAGCCCTCGAACAACAAGAAAAATTAGCAGAGAGTTGCAAAGCTACAGAAATGAAGGAAATACCACATCCATTCGAAGCAGTATTCACGGTGATGAATAATCAAGCGGTATTGCATACTACTCTCGGCAATTTTGACCGGGCGGAACAAGCGTTGTGGTGGCTGATATCTTATTGCAAAGAAATAAATAGAAAAGACTCTGAATATCTTGTAACTTTCCTTCGTTTGCATCTTTCTGAAGTTCTGATCCTTCACGGAAAATCAAAAGTGGCTGATGAAATGTTCAGTATTGAGAACTTGAATTCACTGGAGGACATTGTGAAGAGGTTTGGAAACCTTTACATGAATGTAAGAATCGAGGCACTTGAGAAGTTATTAGAGCTCTACATCCGTAGAGGAAAAATCCGAGCTGCCCTTCAGCTTTTGCAAATAACTGTAAAGATCCTAAAAACTGTGTTCGGACCTGACCATTATAATATTGCTTCCCTGTTGTACAAACAAGGTACAATTTTGAGCTTCACAGGAGAAGTTTCTCAAGCCGCGGAAAAATTCAAAATTTCGATCGAAATCCTGCGGAAAATATTTGGTGTTAAGAATTTTCTTCTTCTCAAGTGCTACATGTCTCTTGGTGATGTGACATCGAGAATCAATCAAGAAGGAGAGTCTTACCTTTACTTTCAAAGAGCCACTGAGAACATAGAAGCCATCTACCAAGTGTCATTTGTGGATGAGTTGAGAATAAAGTACCTGGAAATCACAGGAAGTTTCAAAACCTTGCAAAACCGGAAAGCGTCTGATGATAGAATTGAAGGTCTTGTTGCAGAGTATGGGCAAGGAATAGCCTTCTGGTTAAACCACCACAGCAACTGTCAATTAAGAAAGTGCAGAGCCAATAGGAAACGTTTCCCTGTGAAGAACACGGAAGGTCCCCCTTCTGAGTCGACGTCGATAGCCTTTTTCAAATATTCATCCGATTTCATCAAGAGTGGACAAAAGCTCCTCCGTCTTGGAATGATTGATGAAGCTTCCGTCTTTTTTCAATGCGCAGAGTTGCATTCCAGAGTACATGCAATCCAAGGTTATCCAGACTTGAGTGTCGCCTACCTAAACAGCGTATTCCTGATGAAAAAGTTTAGAAGTCACCGAACACTGCAGCATGGCCATCGTTTGAGGAAGCTTTTGGGAGACCTACGCAGCGTCATAGAAGAAAGTGGTGCTCAAAGTCCTGTCCAAAGGACCAATGGGGTTGCGACAACGAAGGAGTCTGACTATCAGCGAAACTTGAGGCCTGTGTTAATTTTACTTCTTTTGTTCTCAATAGAGCTGAAAATGACTGAAACCACCTTTGTAGCGTACGACTTATACTCTAAACTTTTTCAACACAAGATCGATTTTCCATTTTTGCTCCTCGATGGAATTCAAGTTTATGCCTCAAGAGCGACGATCACCTGCAATGGACAGACTGCTGTTCAAGACATCTTGATTTCCTCTGAAGTTGGTCTGAATGAAAGTGACACCGACAGAGCGTCTACTGACACGAAGTTATACCGCAGCTTGGCTTACCAGGAGAATGCAACTGGAAATGCTTTCTTAGTGACTGGCAGATTACCGGTCCTTCTAGACATCGAGGACCTTAATACCGTGAAGGACAAAATCTCATTGGCAGTTCAAGAGTGTTTTCAAACGAAGTGCATGGCAGCTGAAGCTAAAGGCGGCGCGATGACGGTTGTCGTGGATTTGACTCCAACGGAAAAATGTGACCTGCAAGACATCTTTTCTATGGGAAGTAGAATCGATCTCTTACCTCTTTGTCTATCAGAACATCCAAGTGATGGCATACGGAATAAAGAGACGTCGACTATCTTTGAGATGGACACATCGATGTATCAGAGGATTGTAGAGGTGACCTTTGAAGATGAGCAATCAAGCTCTTTCATCTTCAAAAATACTGCATTGAGACTTCTTCAGCAGAATGACGCAGGAGGTATATCATCATTGGCGCTAGCAAGTCACAGCCTTTCAATAACGGTTCTCCAACCACGAAAAACACGGATCATTTTGTCACAAAGTGGAAGACAGGTCATAGAAAAGACACAGTTCGTATCGACAAGAAAAACAATAAACGGATTGGCAGCCTCGAATGGTACGTTTGAGACTTCTGTTCTTGATGTGCTCCCTTTGCCTGAAATTCATCAGGCAATTGAAAAGTATGGAGTGCCGTGTCTACAAAGAACTTTATCGAAAATTTATTGGGAACAATCATCCACACCCTGTGAAACCAACAGCACCTCGAATCACGGAAGGACAGGAGCTGAGAGGTCGTCTCGAAAAACTGTGAGTAAATATTCTTGTCACGGAGACATTTATTTTTAAGGTTTGTTTTATCTGACTCTTAAGAGTTCCAACCGGTGTCAACCATCATCCATATGGTTGCTTCAGGATGTTTTCTTTCAGCGTTAGACTTCCGACTTACACGTGGTTATTTCACAGCAATCTCCTTTATTTTCTTCAGTGTTGATGGTTTTCTCTATCTTTTAAAGTGCGTACTGACATCTCTTAGGCAAGAGTGCGACTTTCTACTTTAAAAGTTAAACAATCTTGCATTGCAATTGCCTTGAATGACAGGGAGGATTCTTTGTACTCCACATTCTCCTTACGGCTCGATGTTTGACAATATTTTATTGCTTTCCTCGATTGTTGGTTCATGCTCCACCTTTATCTTTCTCTTTTGAGATCTCTTTTCATGTTTTTGCTGGTTTTGGCTACATTAGGAATGTACTGCTGCGTCTATTTAAAGAGAACGATTATCCGAGTTTTGAAACTAAAGGGATTTGCCGAATTTTAATTGCTGCAGAAACTTGTGGAAGAATGAAAAAGCCAGATGTTATATTTTCAGAAGCAGGACAAAATTAAAAGCTCAAGAATATATTTCGATCGTTGTAGGGATAAACAATCAAGTTTAGCCATTGATGCATTACAAAACACTAACCAGCAGAGAGTGGTCCTTTAATTTTAGCAGAACACAGAATGAGGAGATTCAGTTTCAAGTTAATTAAATTGGAGTTCGTTCATTCCATGATCAGGAAGGATCGCTTGTTACGTCACTGGTTAATGAAAATGTCGTAACACCCACTCTTGAAAAAGATAGCTGGAATTTATTGAAGAGCGGAATATCAATTGCACAAAAGAGTATATTGTAAGATTAGAGGACATCATTTCTGGTGTGCGAGGATGTGCAGCTGAAAGAAAATCAAGCCCAGCCGTCCAGGACGTACAAAGGGCAATAAGAGATTAAAGGAATTATTGGACATAAGTGGTCAACAGTCGTTTTGTTGCCAATACCCCAGCATCATCGGTGGATTTATAAAGAGGAAATGACTTTGAATGTAGATTTTAAGAGACTCCATCATTCAAGAGGCAGAATCTCCTACCAAACTAGCAAAATATTTGCTGATTACTGGTTGATTCAGAAATTCAAGTCTTAAATGATTTCAAAAGCTAGGAAACCGGAGAATCCCTGGAGTTTGCACTTGAAAGGGTGCAAGGGCTGCTATGAAGTGTGGAGATGGTTTTCGTTGTCACCAGTGAATTTAGAGGCGACAAACTTGGCGGATGAGTGGAAGTTTTGGCTCGATGCTTTCGACAATTACCGAATTGCTACGAAATTAGATAAAGAAAGCGACGACGTTCAAAGAGCTACTTTTCTACATCTTGCGGGGACGGGAGTCCAGCGTTTGCTCTCAGGTTTGCCGGGAGAGAACAAGAAATTTGAGGAAGTTAAACAAGCGTTGAGTGCACATTTTCAGCCGAAGAGAAACAAGTGGGCGGAGAGGTACAAGTTTCGAAAACGTGCTCAACTTCAACATGAATCACTTGATACCTTCATTACAGAGTTACGTATGCTGAGTTTAACATGCGACTTCGGGGAAGCCACTGATGATAATATTCCTGTTCAAGCTATAGAGAAGTGTTCTGACGGATATCTACGAGAAAAGCTACTACAACAAGGAGAGACTCTTACACTGGAAAAAATCCAGACGCTCGGGAGAGCAATTGAATCTGCAAAGAAGGATACACAGCTACTTGGGGGGCACGGGGCCCAAAACTTGCCTGGAAAATCTGATGTTAATGCGGTAAAATCTTCAGTAAATAAAGCGAAAGAAAAAGCCTGCTTTCGATACGGAAAAACGGATCATCTTGCTGATAACGAAAGATGCAAAGCTAGGAATGCACAGTGCATAAAATGTAAGAGGACTGGTCACTTTTTGAAATATTGCAGATCAAGAGAATCAGAGAATAAAGAAGATGTAAAGTTTGTCCAGCCAGTCCAGCAACAGTCAGATAGGTCTAACCCTGAATGTATTTGGTATGCTACTAATAGTAACGGGCTGGGTGTTGAAACTGAAGTTGAAATCAATGGTAAACTTGTTCAGATGATGATTGACACTGGCTGTGCTAAAACCTTGATCCCTAAACAATGGTTTAGAAACAACCTGAAGACTCCTCTTAACCCAACCAACGTCAAGTTCTCAGCTTTTGGCGAAGGAGACCTCAAGTGTTTAGGAGTATTTGATGCTAAACTGAGATGCAATAAGATGGAAGTAATGGAGCCAGTGTATGTGATCGATGTGGAAGGTCCCCCCCTGGTGGGAAGAAGCGCCCTGTCCATCCTCAACCTTGTAAAAATCCATGCAGTAGGAGAGAGCCCAACCAAGGAGATGGAGAAGATCTATCAGGAGTATAAAAATCTCTTCAAGGAAGAGCTCGGAGACTTTAAGAAAGATGTCCCTCCCAAGGTACAAAAAACAAAGGCCGGTCCCAGCACCCTTAGAGGAGATATTGAAACAAGAAATAGAGCGAATGATTCAAGAAGATGTGATTGAGGAAGCGGCAGGAGCATCGTGGATATCACCTGTGCAGATTGTCTACAAGGGGAAGGGAGAATTGAGAGTGTGTGTTGATCTCAGGGAAACTAATAAAGCAGTGATAAGAGAGCGGTTTCCAATTTCTAGAATCCAAGACCTGTTACCGCAACTGAGTGGGGCTCGGATGTTTTCGACTCTGGATCTAAGGAAAGCATATTGGCAGGTTCGCCTAGCGGAAGAATCTAGAGAAATTACATCGTTCATAGCCGCAGGTAAAGTGTATCAGTTCAAAAGGCTGCCCATTCGGACTTTCTTCAGCACCAGAGGTGTACCAAAGGGTCATGAGCATAGTGTGTGAAGGCTTATCAGGTGTGCTTAGCTACTTTGATGATGTGCTGGTGTACGGGTCAACACCAGAAGAACACTGGAAGAATCTTCGTGCAGTTATGGATAAACTTCAAGACTGTGGCCTTCGTCTCAATGCAGACAAGTGTGCCCTTGAGCATGTGTGAGCTGAAATTTCTAGGATACGTTATCTCTGCTGAGGGCATTAAGCCTGACCCTAACAAGGTAAAAGCCATTGCAGATGCACCAGTACTTCAAAACCAAGCTGAACTGAGATCATTTCCGGGAAGTATTACCTACCTTACACAGTTTGTTTCCAACCTTGCAACAGTGATCACTCCCTTACGATATCTTACGCAGAAGGGTGTGGTGTGGAAATGGAGTACAACAGAATCCAAGGCCTTTGAGAAAGTTAAAGAGCTTCTGATTAAAGCACCATGCCTTGCACACTACTCATTGGAAGCCTAGACCAAACTTGTAGTAGATGCCAGCCCAGTTGGTCTTGGGTATGTCTTGCTGCAAAATGTTGACAGCCGTTGGCAGCCCATATCTTTTGCGTCCAGACGTCTAACTGCGGCAGAGAAGAGATATTCACAAATCAAACGAGAGGCAATGGCTGTGCTATTCGGATTGCAGAAGATGCATTCTTACATTTATGGTCGCCACGTTGTCGTCTCGACTGATCATAAACCACTGCTTGGCGTATTCAATAAAAACTCTCAATCAATTCGCCTTGAACGGATTACTTTGAGATGTCAGGACTATGACTTCACACTCAACACTCACTTATGAACCTGGATCTGAGAACATTGCAGATGGACTGTCAAGATTACCTTTGAATACTACTGTTACAGAAACAAGTTTTGTTGAGGAGCATGTACACTTTGTCAAAAGTGCTGAAGTGATGCTTTGCTCTCAATTGATGAAATAAAAGAGGCTGGAGAGTCTGACCCTGAATTACTAGAGGTGGTGAAGGTACTTGATGGAACCCAGAACCTGGTAAATAATAAATGGAAACATTTTAAAGATGAACTGAGCTTTGCACAGGGCCTACTGTGGCGAGGTCGACGAATTTATGTTCCTGAGAAGTTGAGAAAAAAGGCATTGACCTTGGCACATGAGGCTCATCAAGGTATTGTGCGTTGCAAGCAACGCCTTCGTAGAATTCTGTTCTGGNGGGTATGTCTTGCTGCAAAATGTTGACAGCCGTTGGCAGCCCATATCTTATGCGTCCAGAAGTCTAACTGCTGCAGAGAAGAGATATTCGCAGATCGAACGAGAGGCAATGGCTGTGCTGTTCGGATTGCAGAAGATGCATTCTTACATTTATGGTCGCCACGTTGTCGTCTCGACTGATCATAAACCACTGCTTGGCGTATTCAATAAAAACACTCAATCAATTCGCCTTGAACGGATTGCTTTGAGATGTCATGACTATGACTTCACACTCACTTATGAACCTGGATCTGAGAACATTGCAGATGGACTGGCAAGATTACCTTTGAACGCTACTGTTACAGAAACAAGTTTTGTTGAGGAGCATGTACACTTTGTCAAAAGTGCTGAAGTGATGCTTTGCTCTCAATTGATGAAATAAAAGAGGCTGGAGAGTCTGACCCTGAATTACTAGAGGTGGTGAAGGTACTTGATGGAACCTAGAACCTGGTAAATAATAAATGGAAACATTTTAAAGATGAACTGAGCTTTGCACAGGGCCTACTGTGGCAAGGTCGACGAATTTATGTTCCTGTGAAGTTGAGAAAAAAGGCATTCACCTTGGCACATGAGGCTCATCAAGGTATTGTGCACTGCAAGCAACGCCTTCGTAGAATCCTGTTCTGGCCGGCGATGAACTGTGACGTTGAAGACTTCTTCCGAAATTGCGAGACATGTGTGCGCCTTCAGCCACTACGACAAGACACACCTAATACAGCAACTCCTCTTCCCGATTACTGCTGGGAGAAGTGTGCCCTTGACCTGGTGTGTCCATTTCCTGGAGAGATCTACATCATGAATGTTGTTGATTACAGAAGCAAATGGCCCGAGGCTATTGTCTTTATGCGTATTACAAGTGAGAGTATAGTCACTGCACTTGCAGATATATTCGCACGATTTCGAAATCCAAAAGTTCTGATCACGGACAATGGACGTCAGTTCGTAGCTGAGGAATTCCAAGACATCATGAAGGCAAATGGAATACATCACAGAAGAGTATCACCCTATTTTCCACAAGCAAATGGGCCGGTCGAAAGATTTCATAGGTACCTAAAGCACAGTATCAGAGCAGCAGAGTTAGATGGCCTATCCTGGACAGAGGTTCTGCCCACAATCCTGCAAGTTTACAGATCCACTCCACATGCCGGGACTAACATGACCCCGGCTAAACTGTTTCTCAACAGAGAGATAACAACAAAGTTGCCAACAGTACCAGAAATGGATCATAACAACCCTGAAGAGAGGTACAAGGAATACCAGAGGAAGTTATGTGAGTATACTGATGCCATGCGACATGCACAACAACATAACCTAGTACCTGGGGATATTGTATTTGTAGCAGATACAGAATCTGGAAAATTGATTCCCACGTTTGGTCATCAGAAGTATGTCATTGTTCGTAGCAAAGGACCAGATACTTTTGAACTTGTCAATGCTGAGACTGGACAACATCTCACTTGTAATGTGAAGTTTCTTAGTAGAGTTCCACGCATGGAGCTACCAGTTAATGATGACAATGACAACGGCTGTTTGGAGTCGGAAGAGTTCGCTGAGGCAGCGATGCCTCCTTTGGATCAACTCGGATCTACAGTCTCAGATGATAGGAATCCCGCAGATAGTGGTCCGACCGACTTAGCAAAGGAATTGAGACGTTCAACTCGAACACCAAAGCCAAAGAGAGATGCTGACATTGTTTATGACTAGAACATTGTTTTGTTCTTCTATGTTAAGTTGCGTTGTTATAGTGGACTTTGAACTTTAAATAGGTTGGGATGGGATGTCATATCCGGGTATCCATGGATATTGCAGGCTTTGCTGCTAAGCTTAAGGACGTTTTAGAAACTTTGGATCTGTCGATCTACGTTCGGTGTAAACTCTTCTTGTATATTTGAGTCTGTTCCGTTACATTTAAAGACTTTGCGACACTACATCGCACAACACGAGTCGTCCTGTCATGAGTCCAGAAGATCAGTATGCTGAGCAGTGGAGAAAGTTGAGGAAACAGAAACCAACTAGAAATTACTGGTGATGAGGTTAAACCAAATCTTTCAGAAAATCATAAGGCTATTAGAAGACTGGTTAACACAAACAAACGGCTTTTGGATGGACCCAGAGATTACCGAAGTTTACTGAGACAAAAGCTGGTAATACTTCAGGAGGCTACATTCGTAAAACTGCTCAAACCGGGTGGAACCATCGGTAAAGTGCTTCATTTTATTGTCGTGCGACCGGATGGAGTCTTCTTTCAAACTCGCACGGCGAGGGTGTCTGCCCAAACTAGATCATTTATTAACCACACAAGTACGTAAACGCTGCCTTACTGATGGTTGTGATGTATTTGAGAATTGAAGTTGCATCCAAGAACGGATTGTGTTAGTGGTTTCTATGTTTTCTCCATCAATTTGTTGAAATATTTTGTTCCTTTCAGTTAGATGCATCGAAAATTATTTCTTAAAAAACCCAAATGGGAGAAACTAATGAAAGTGCCTTGTATGTGCTTTGATGTAGAGATCTCTGGATCTCTGGAATAGCTTGAGGAATACAAATTCATTCTAGTGGTTTTCGGGATCAACTTGTCGCCAGTTCGGTCTCAATTGATGACCTTAGTATACTCTAAAAGACAAGAAATCAACCCTCTGATGGCGGCAAAGACAGTTTTAAAGCCACATGGACGATAACTTAAATTATTTGCCTGCCGATAACCAAGGTACCACGTTGTATAGACAACTGGGTCGCTTATATACTGGTTCAGCAATATTGGTGAGAGAGAGGGTCTAATTCAGCAAAGGTCTTGAAAAGATATCTATACAAGACAGAGCATTAGAACTTGAGACTGGTAAGGGTCCACTTCCAACCGTGAAGACTAATTTGGCTGCCTAAAGCAAATTTGTAGTGAAGGCGAGTGTTTGTAAGTTACGGATGGCTTAAGTTATGGAAACGATTATTTCATATCTTCGTTTCTTAATGGCAGCTTTATGTCCATGGTTAACTGAAACTCTTTCGAACGATCCTAACTGTTAGCTGTTTAGCATTCTTTTGGTGTGACAGCAAGAGTGTACTGTGGTGGATTCGACGAAGAAGTGGATAGTTCTAGCCTTTCATAGCTAAACGAGGTGGCCTAATTCAAAGCTCGATCAACTCCAAGCAATGGTGTTACGTTCCACCCAGTGAGGTTCAACTGTAATTCTAACTAGGGGGAGGGCCATTTCCAGATATGGCAAAAGAAATCCGGTGGAGAAACCCTGGATTTATTGACCACGAAGAAACCGGAATGGCTGGATAATGGCGCCGAAACAGACACGTTTTCCAGAAGGACCAGAAATGATCAGTAACGTGGTAATAAAAAGAATAGACAACGATGACTGTATTTGAGAATGAGAAAAAAATCTTCTTCACGCGAAACCCTGTCCAAGTTGAACGAGTCCTTACTGAGCAGTTTTTCTCGTTTAATAAACTCCAGGTGTACAATCATGGAAGAGCCAACGGAAAATTACATCAGAAACGACTGAAAATTTCCACGGCTATGTTAGTGCCACTAACATACTTATATCTAACCCAGTGAATGATGTACCAATAATACGACACCACTTTCAAGCAGACAGTTTGCGCCCGAATAGGCCCTTTGCAACTAGAGGTCACGTGCTTGGATACTGCATAGCAACACAAAACTGGAGAGCAAGCGCTCCAGTAAACAAACTCTCGTAAGAGGTCAAGCATATCTGGCTTTAGACAATAGTTTTCTGTTCATTACGCTCAATCCTTGTGCAATATATACAAAAACTGTAACATATTTACTAAATCTCTCGTCTGGACTCGATTTTTGGATGGAAAGCACGATATTTTTCTCGAAATCTTAAAAAAACTGTCACTAACAACCCGCTCAACGGCTAAGAAACATGGCGGCTTCGCAAGGTATGTACTTCAAGATTTGTCATTAATAGTAAACAGGGTCAAGAGAATCCTTTTTACAAATGATTTGAGGCAATACGGAAGGGGAATTTAAGATAATTTACGGTCATCTGAGGTCAAACTCGTTAAGTGACATTAACCTGTTCTGCGGGTAAACAGTGTGTGCGTCTCATATCCTTTGGCCTGGTGCCCCCAAAGCTTCACAAATTTTCTTATCTCTGTGTTTTACGTAGTACCCTATCCAAGCTGTAACGTTGTCGGAAATGCCGGGTGAACTCAACGAGGACAGTGAGGAACAAAACACTCGATACGCGAAGAAAACTTTAATAGAATAAAAACTGAACACGCTTTCATCCGGGCTACACACATATCTCGGCTAACAACACTTCATGTAAAACAAACGAAATATCGTCACAGAAGCTATTTCAGACATGCAAGCAACTGTTATTCACTCTTTCAAGATAGTTATAACCTTTCAAATAGCTGAGAACAACTACAAAAAATACCAGAAATAAATGTATATTTTCACGACCACAAGACGATTCTTTCGAAATGGAGCTAGCAATGATAGTTCTATGTCAAACATTGCTGCTAGCATTGTTTGTCTTCCAACAGTAAGAATAATGGTTTCCCACGTTACTTTAGGAGCGTTAGCAACGTAATATATCTGCATATTAAAAGCACCTCTCCAAAAATAGCGCACACAAATAGAAACTCAGTATAAGGAAAAGGAATTCTCAAAGTCAAAAATATAATTGTTCAGGTAGTAAATAAGGAACTTGAAAGACAATACAATAGAAATATAAGCGACAAAAAGCTGATTTCAATTAGATTCATGTATTTTGATATTTACCTCCTTACATAGTTTTGCTGCATACAAACAAATTTAGTATTAACATTGCAAAAAATTTTCATTTCAGGGTGGCCCTTCTGAATTCAAAGACAAGCAAAGACAAACAAGAGAGAGTGTTCTAGAGTGCCTTAGGACTGTCAGCCAGATATCACGACTGCTTTACAGCGTGGAAAGTCCCTTTACTCATGTTGAAATCTGTCTGGTGGATACAAATCAATGTCATAATGCTCATAAGAGTCTAGAAGATCAGAAATACATTTCCAGGGAGGAAAAAGTAAGGTTGGTGGATTTGAGTGACGATGACACAGGACGTCTAGCTGCTTCATTTCAAAATCAGGAAGACCGTGAAAACACTTCCCGTACCCTTCAGTATCTGACTGAGAGTTCAGAAGGAAATGAAAATAATGAATGTATTACACAGAACGTTCCTGATATTACCACTGTTAAGGCAAGCACAACCAACCACGAGGAAGAATCCATTCTCAGAGAAGACGAGATATCAGAGGGGAAACGTCTATTTGAAGACGATAGAAAGTCAAGACTTTCTTCCATAGCTGACCTGAAAGAAATCCTGAGAAAAAAGCAACTGAAGCCTAAAAGAGGTGATTCAATTCACTCCAACAAGGCAGACGCAAATGATGTTGCAAAGTTGCAGTCAAACCATATGCAAAATGGTAGCAACTGTGGTAATAGAGAGGCTCTGTATCAAAACCCAGAGGCCCAGGCACTAAGCCAAAAACGCACTTCTAGGAATGTCATTTCTCATAAAAGTGGCCTCAGAACTAGTTCACTTGAAAGCAAGACAGCTAGGGAAGAAGACAATCTCTTGAGAATGCATCTTTCACCCCAATATCCAGCCCCTAACAACGTAAGAGAGCGAAATTATTTAGAAACTCAACCTAAATGTGAGCTTGCAGAGGACGAAAGCAGCCGCCTGCCTAAAATAATGCGGGAAAAAGAGGCCACTTTCGCAGCCTCCGATAAATGCGACGCCTCTGGCCTTTTGGAAAGAAAGGCGTACGCTAAAAACGTAGAGACAGGGGCAAATGGTGATCATTGTAGTACAAATAACGCCATTAAAATCAACAGGGAGACCCCCTTACATAACCAAGACGTACAGGACACCATAGGAGTTGATCAAGAAGGGCAAAGGCAAACGAAGCCCGGCGTCGATAAATTTAAGAGTAGAAAACACCACAGTGTGGAAAGAAGTGAACGAAATGACGTGGACGTTACGGGAAATAGAACCAATATTCAGGAAAAGCAAGAAACTCCTTGTCCTGATTATGACGACAAGGCGACATGGAAAACATTTGGGTTACCTGCTGGAGAAGTTTTAGCAGATGGATCCATGAACATAGATACCAGTAGAAGCCAAAATAATATGGTGGATCTTTTAAAAGAGACGCATACTGGGGATGGGACAAACCTAGAAGAGGATAATGGTATGCACTCCATGCAAAAAAGAGAACCAACCAAACACTCCAAGTCAAAAGCCACCATCTCAAACTGCAAGGAAATCACCACCACATTCATGTTTCAAGGGGGTGATGTTGTTGCTGACGGCGAAGTCCACAAGAACCTTGGTGGTGATGGATCAGTACTCGCACAAAACTCTGACAAGGACAACCATGTCTTTCTGTTTATACCTAACCACGGGGAAGAAGATGCTATAGGAGTTGATCGAGAGGGTCAAAGACAAACGAAGCTTAATGTAAGTACATTTAAAATTAAAAAACGAGAACTTGAAGGTAGGGAACGAAGCGGGCTGGAAATCATAAGGAGTAAAACCAATACATCAGAAAGTCAAGGCACGTCTTGTTGCGATCATAACGATATGGCAACAGAGAGAACATCTGGTCCACTAGGAGAAGAAGCTTTGTCGGATGGATCCATGAACCGGGAAACCGCAAGAAGTCAAAATGACGTGGTAGCTCTCCTAACAGAGACAGATTTCGTGAACGGGCCCAAATTAAAAGAGGAAATTGGGACGCAATCTTTGAACCAAGGCTCTAGAGCATTAAAGCCAATAAGTTCATACGGTCAGATATATTTTAAGTCACAAGCCACAACCTCAAACCGCCATGAAACTAGTACTAGATTATTGTGTCAAGGGAGCGATGTTGTTGCTGACGGCGAAAGCAATGAAGATGATCTGAATAACGTTGACATTGCAGATGGACCAGCACTCACACAAAATCCGTACAAGGCATTTAATGCCGGCGAGAGGTTCACAGCCAACATGAAGCACAAAAGTGTACCCTCATGTAGCGAAAACGAGTCACATACAGATACAGATGCGCTCTGCAAACACAGATATCCTCTTAATAGCGAGACTGACCTCTTTCAATCTCACTCGGGTGACGGAGGAGCAAGGCCCAAACAAAGATCAACAGATAACGCCAAATGCCCCTTACCATGGCCCGGCGGTACAAATCCAATTTCAGCTGACTGTGACTTCAAAATAGAAAATCGGGGCCTAGATCCTGTTTTTATGGCGCGCCACGTCAAAGAGAGTAGTCCATTTCCTTCGTTTTATAACGGGGGAAACTATAATCATGCTTCATTAGACGGTCCGTGGCAGGAAGATTACGAACAGGAGTATTCTTCATCTAATGCTCATGACCAAGTCTTTAAAGGCAAAGGTCAGATCTCACCCGAGAAGAAAAAGTTCATTCCACACGATATAGTCCATAAATCAAATATGTGTGTTCCTGTATATAACGCATCAGTAAACAAAAACTTTAGTTTTTATCATGTAACGCAACCAAACGGAAATGAAAAAGAAAGCTGGCATTTTCCATCCTCAGAGTCGTGGGAAGACAGGGTGCTGCGAAGCCAATGCTTTGCCGAGAGGACAAACAAGTCAAATCGAACATCGCTGCCAAAATCTTTTGATGCTGACCGTGAGAAACTCTTCAATACGTGTGGATCAGTATGTGCTTACAACGACATGGATTCAATGGCTAATGAATACTTCAGCAGTATAGCTAAGGATGAATGTGCACAGTCACTACCATTGAGTGAGAACGAGCATTCATCGACAGAACATTCGCTGGCCTCTAGTTTTAGATGTCTTCAAGATATAATGGCCAAGACTATTCGGCTTGTTGTCTCAAATGCTACGGGCGCGGGGAAAACTCAACCCGCAAACCAGGCGGTCGAAAAGACAGGCGTACAGGAAGAAACGGGCGATACGGGAGAAGGGGAACCAGCCTTAACACAACAAGTTAACGAGACGAACACTCAAGTAGAATCTACCCCATCAAATAAAACGACAATAGAAGCCAAGCGACAACCTGTCGCAACACCTGTACAAGAGAGTCCACGCCCTGTTTGCAGTCATTATCAACGCCGATGCTTGGTTCGGTTTCCCTGCTGTGGAAAGTTCTTCCCATGCCACCGCTGTCACAACGAGTCAGATTGTAGTGAGGATCAGGCGAGAGCAATTAATGCCACACACATACGGTGCACTATCTGCTATCACGAGCAAGAGGTAAGATTCTTGTTTATGATCCTTTGGGTTTTGCTTTTCTTGTTAAAATAAGTTATCTAGGACGATAACACCTGATATAAGCTAGTCTTATTCAAGAACAGCCGATCGAGCTTAGTGTCCCATACCAAAAAAAAACTATTGCATCCTTATTTTTTTCATCCATTTCAGATCGATGAAAATGGTCAGAGATGTGGCGGCTGCAATGCAATCATGTCTGAATATTTCTGCCCAACATGTCGCCATTATACTTCCGTGGATAAAAATCCCTTCCACTGCGAAAAATGCGGTATCTGTAGGTAAGATGATAAAACGATTTTGGTATTAGTTGTAGACTTATGAAATGTGACAAATAAAGAGATCTGGAGGATCTTGCATTCCATACAAGGTATCATTCTGTCATCGACTTGAGACGATAGGAGCATCATCTCAACTCTTTTGTACTTTGAAGAGTACTGACACTGATACTTTGCTACGAAGTAGCACTTCATCCAATAGGTTGGGAAGCAAACAATTTACCATCTCACAGAAATCTGGACAAGGTTCTGTCGTTTTCATCAGTTTAAGCTTTGTGGAACAATCCTGTAATAAAAATGCGAGATTAAAAGTAACAGATTTGACTCTCTATTGCTAACTTTAAATGTTTTGATAGAATCCATAGAGACAGATCCTTCCACTGTAATGTTTGTAATGTATGCCTGGACAAACGTCTTGAAGGAAAACATAAATGCAGACCTGATTCTGGACACGATGAATGTTGTATATGTCTGGAGGTAAAGTGTTTATATAAGTATTCTAAAAACAAACTTATCTGTAACCACAAATGCTCAAAGGATTTTTTTTTGTTATGTGTATATTTTAAGTATCCTTTTTGTATAATTTTGGTTTGGGTTTTCTTTTAAACTGCTTCCTGCTGCTTCAGAAAGTCACATTTTAATTTTTATCACACTTTAATACCAAACCGACTTAAGCTTAAAAAAAAGAATAGTCTATGATGACAATGATAATGATAATAATGAAAACAGTAATGTAATCATGACAAAAATAATGATGATGGTAATAATGGAAATGATGAAAACAATACTCAAAATGATAATATTAGCATGGAAGAGCAATGATAAGATGAGTTTCTCTGACTTTGAGGTAATTGTCCATAGAAGAAACATTCCAAAAATATTCATGTAATGCAAAGATCTTAAAATAATCTTAAGTTGATCTAAAAAGTGTTGCCTTTTCTGTTTAACTAACTAACAAATAATTGGGCTCCCTATCTGTGATAGGTTTGGGTACATCGATGAAATTGTTTGTCTTTCACAGCTTACCTTTTTGTATATTTTCAATCAGCTTCTGACTCGACATAGAAACTTTATATACGTCGATGCCAACAACAATAAATCCTGGTCTTCATCTCTTCCTCCTCGAAAGCATATATTTACCAATAATCACAATTTCCCTTGATAATCAGCAACAACGTAAGACTCCCGATGTTCATACGAAACCCGTGATCTTTTTTTTGCATTTAACATAACGAGAGAGAACATCCTGGGTTGGTTTCAGTCAACATACCATGTCAGTCTGGCTACGACCTACTTTGCAGGAATTCATAGCACCTTCTCATCAATATGTTAACGCCAGGAGCATGTGAAATAATCCTTTCTGAGATTATTTTTGTATATCTTCCTTTTTATTTTGTCTATAGGACGCCTTCAGTGGTTGTCAAATTCTCCCATGCTCTCACAAGGTTCACAAAGATTGTGCAATTGCAATGATACAAAATGGCGTGTAAGTATATTATTAAGACATTTTATTTTCGTTCAACACTCCCTGATAGATCATACCATCGCATTGTACCAATGGCTTAGAAAGCTACTAAGTCACAGGCTTTACCATATAGAGGTTGAAAGGCAAATTTGTTGGTTTCCATATTTGCATAATCTTCAGTTTAGTTCATGAGTAGTGGCCATTTAATTTCCCCTCCAAACTCTGTTAGTTGTAAAATCTTAAAAACCTTATATGCAAGGCATCTTTTCGTTGTTTAAACAACTTATCAGACATGTAGAATAGAAGTATCGTAGTTAGTGTTGTGCCTTATAACCTTTTTTTCAGTTTTTTGCTTTTGGGTTCTACTTTAATTCAATTTTTTTGTCTTGTTGTTCTGTTTATTGCATGTCATGTGATAGCTAAGGCGACCTGTTAGTTCCATTCTAAATGCGAAAAAAAATGGATATTGGTGCATAAGTTGAAACTGCGGATCCAAAGTTATAACTTCTGATCGGTAGTTTCGATTTTGGGTTTCTTAGGTATAAATTCGCAGATTTTCCTCTGAATCCGTGTTTCAAAATACACCAGTACCCACATTCTACTTTCAATTAGAATATCACTTGCAGGCCACCGTAGATGGCTGTTTTTTCTTAAAAATGAATTAGTAATACTCATTAGTCTAATATACTTTTTTTCGCAGCCGAAAGTGCCCAATATGCCGACATCCCTTGTTCGGTCAACTTCAAACTAGTTCTCAAAATTAACTCAAACAACTGCAAAATTTCAATATGATGCTAATTTTACCTCTCACTTTTGCAGAAACATTTTACTCTTAATCAATTTGTGACTGGCTTTTCTTACTAGCTCGTCCAAACCCAGAAAATCCCACTGTATTAGCTACGGGTGAAATTCTGTTATAACTACAGTCGCGACCATTTTAACTCTCTGTTTTTCTTTTTTGTGTTTTGTTTTCAAATTTAATGGCTGTTAACAACTTCACCTGTCAGCACCGGAAAGACATGATTTTTTAACTTAGAAATTAAGGTATTTTAGGATATGAGAAAAACTGAGAAAAATTGGAGTAGAAACCAACAAAAAACATAGGCAAACTCAAAAGTGAAACTTAATACGCGCACACAAAAAAAGAAAAAGAAAGGCAACCAGTCAAGCCACTAAACAAATGAAAGTGACACAACAACATCCCAAGAGAAAGACCGAGAAAACAGACAAACAAACAATGTACAAACAAACATATTTACAAGAAAAGGATACCAAAAACCAAGGCAGCAGAACAAACTCTTCACTTTGCATAGGTTTTCCTTGTTATAATTAACTCATGTAATAATAAATGCTATCGGTTTTGAGTAAACGATCGGATCATCAAAACTATGGAATCTCCTACACTGAATGCGAGAGAAGGCACCCGCCGATACCCGTAATGGATGCAATCACTCGTAAGTTCTTATGCATGTGCATAAAAATTTTTAACTGGCCAGCATTTATGTTTCATTTTGAATTCAAACCTCGGTTTGATGAAATATTCCATATACTTCAGGAGCCAAACGAAACTCACACAGGATTAAACCGATTAGCCGGAATCATGAATGAAAAGAGATACAGTTTGCTATGATTCGCGGCTACATACAAGCTAATAGTACATTGTATACTATACATTGTATAGTATGTGTTGGAAATCCACAGATCGAGAACAAATAAAACATTCTGGAATAACTGACCAATGTTAAGCCTCGTAGTTTCACGATATGAGGCTAGGAGGAGGAAAGGGTAATTGCAGACTGAAGCTACATATGGCGAGGCACAAAATTTGGGTAAATCGGGTGCTACCCAAATCACTCGAAACCTCGCTCAGTCATTCAGGTCCCCTGTTTACATTCCACATTTCTTTTAAAATGACCAAACAGTTTAATACCCTTCAGTAAGGATTTTTATCAATCGACGCTCCCTTCGCAGCATTTGTTAGTCATAATGCTGTGAACAGCTGAAATGCATATATTTACATTTTATAAAAATTCTATGAGAAACGAAATATTTAAAGGGATGTTTAAAAAGACAATCGAGTAGCCGACTGAAGTTACGACATATCGTTTTTTGTGCATACTTTTCTTCGCTTTCTTTCTTACGTTCTTGCACCGATCCTTATTATTTGCGGTTTATTTCGTTGCAGGACGCAAGCTGTAGGAATAGCTTCTGGATCTTTGGAAATTTCTCTGTTGTTCAGCTCTGAAATTATACTAAAACAATTACTCGCCTCAGGTTCGGTGAATATTGTCGAATAATCCCCTCTACTTCTTCTCGGGGGATTATTAGGCGATATTCACCTCGCCTTCGGCGAATAATAGTCCATTTTACAGTTGTGTGCTTGGTTGCCAAGCCTTTGAATGGGAGTGAGGCTAGAGATGACCTTGTTCAGATACAAACCTTGCTGCCTTTCAAATGTAAATCACATTGTTATCATGCTAACTAGATACAGGTCTCTATCACATCAAGGTCATCTTTAGCCTCACTCTGAATCAAAGGCTTGGCAACTAAGTACACAACTGTAAAATGGCCTATCGTTAAATATAATGTGCATGTATATAAGAACCACCGACAGAGACGCTAATATATCACAGAATTGTCGTCTCGGTGTTACGGCCTCTGATTGGTTAGAATCAGAAATTTAACTTGTGGTGCGGTGCTGCTACCGTATATTGAACAAAAGCAGAAGTGCGAGACACAGCTTTGAGCTCTATAGCAATTTTTTTTCTTTTTTTTTTTTTTGGTAATTTCTTTCAAGAAGTAGTGTAGAAATTAGAGAATTGTAGTCGATTTCAGAATTTTTTTTTCACTAGTTACATGCAGTAAACAACAATGATATCTATGAGGATGTCAATAAAAAACACAGTCTTAATTTGTATTCTGTTAGTGAACGTTTGTCTCTCAACAGTAGCCAACGAGATGATTTCCCAGATTATCGATCTTGTGGCGCTGTACGATACGCCTAAATAGTACGGCTGCCATTTGCTTGCACCGTTTTTGCACCAGCTTAGAGGTTAGAGGGCCCATGGATATCCTGAGCATAGTTTCTGAAAAGCCCCTGTGGAGTTCATTGTATAAAACCTGTATAGTCTTATGCTCTTTTGACTCGCCTTTTAAATAACAATCGTCCCCGCGCTTGTGGACATTTTTAGAGCTCGCGCTTTTTTGGCGTCCAGATCGCGCGGTTAAAAACCCCATGGAGCCTCCTCAAAGGAGGCTGACAAAAACAGATCGAGAGTCCTTGGTGCCTAAGTAAAAGCGTGCTGCGGTCTGCAGTGACTTTTCCCTTAACTAGACCCCAAAAAACGTCAGGGAAACTTTAAGAAGCTTTGAGACTTGGCTATTCAAAACAATTTGCAGCGCAATAATCTGAGGTCTTTCTTGTTGTGAATGACTACCGTGCCTCCAAGGAAAAGCTTCTTATGACAATACATGCTCACAACCTAAGACGGTACAACCAGTGATCTCGAGGACCAATACTCAAGAGCTGTACATTTCTACCGATTGAATCAAACACCGACGGAATATCTTCGCTCGAACAGGGAAGTCAAAAATGGAAGTCAAAGCAAATACTGTGAGATTGCTTATTTTTTGCATTGTAGCTGCAAAGTTCTTTGGCTTTAGCGTCTGTGAGAGACTCCTAAGCTCTGTCAAGTCAGCACCGTGTTATCCTACATACTGGCCCCTTGACTAACAGTCTTGACTCAATGAAAAGTCAGTCAGTCAGTCACTTTTCTCGCATCATCAGAAATCGGGGACATTTCGAGCCCGTTACGAAATGTCAGCGGTATATCGTATTACAGACAATTTAATGTGGCGGCGGTAGAAGTGAAGTAAACACGTAACTTTCTATTTTCTTTAAACGCCTGGTACCTTTCTATCCCAGAAAGCCAAAGGAGACGTCAAAACAAGGAAAATGGTGGCAAATTGGGCAGTTACTGGCACTTGTATCTTTCGTGTTCTTCCGTCCTAAAATTGGGTATTTAAAAATGGCGTATTTAGCGTTTGAGCTCTGTGAAAATACGAAGAGTTTCCCCGCTCGAGGAAAATTTGTGGGCCAACATATTCGACCGTTTACGAGCGATTTAATTGAGCAAACTTCTGCAGAATGCACATGGAACTACGCAGTTGCGAATCTTCACAAGGTTGTTCCCACGACAAAAGTATTGTAACACCTAGTCGAAGCAGATTTTAAGAGTTTGTATGGAAAAATGGAGTCAGAATTATGAGTTTACTCGTATACCTTGGGAAAAGGTACGCTTCAATTTGAGTATTTCTTTTTCGTAGCGATGGACGCTTTAACCGAGGCAGGCTGCATTTCCAAGTGCGCAGCAAAAGAATATCATGTATTATTATCCAACTACACCTAGACGAATACAAATAACGCCATAGACGAGTACAAATATCACGCGGTATTTGTACTCGTCTATTGTAGAGTACCGGTTAAACAGGTTTTCTCGCATCGCGCAAGCAAAGAATTGGATTGTAGTTACGAAAAAAAATAAAAAAATGGCGGACAATTTGAATCATATTTCCGACGACGAAGAGTCAGAATGGCTGGCAAATATAGATCTAAGTTTATTAGATGAATCGAACGAAGAAAAACAGCTAGACGACCTGGAAATTTCTTTATTGAAGAAAATAGAAACAGCAACACGACAACGCGCCAATTCCGTTCCGCTTCGCATACTTCTGTCACGCACTCCCCGTAAATCAGCCGCGAAATTCGCCCGCACTGAAATGACAGTTTGGCGTGTTGGATAATAAATAACTTATTAGACGTTTTGTTGTGTAGTATCGCTGAGTATTTTTACTCGTTATTTGTATTTTGACTCGCCCTACGGGCTCGTCAAAATACGGCACAACTCGTAAAAATACTCAGCGATACTACACAACAAACCTCTAATAAGATATATTTATTATCCAACTACACCTAGACGAATACAAATAACGCCATAGACGAGTACAAATATCACGCGGTATTTGTACTCTAGAGTACCGGTTAAACAGGTTTTCTCGCATCGCGCAAGCAAAGAATTGGATTGTAGTTACGAAAAAAAATAAAAAAATGGCGGACAATTTGAATCATATTTCCGACGACGAAGAGTCAGAATGGCTGGCAAATATAGATCTAAGTTTATTAGATGAATCGAACGAAGAAAAACAGCTAGACGACCTGGAAATTTCTTTATTGAAGAAAATAGAAACAGCAACACGACAACGCGCCAATTCCGATCGCATACTTCTGTCACGCACTCCCCGTAAATAAACATCCGCGAAATTCGCCCGCACTGAAATAACAGTTTGGCGTGTTGGATAATAAATAACGTATTAGACGTTTTGTTGCGTAGTATTGCTGAGTATTTTTACTCGTTATTTGTATTTTGACTCGCCCTACGGGCTCGTCAAAATACGGCACAACTCGTAAAAATACTCAGCGATACTTCACAAGAAAACGTCTAATAAGATATATGTATCACATGGCATGCCCAATCGATGAAACCAATAAACGAGATAACAAATATCAGTTAATATAATTCATAATAATTAATCGATTGATATCAGAAATTGATGAAAATTGATCATCAAGAAAATTGTAAGTATCGATTTCCATCAATTTTATCGATTTCATTGATTTCTCATTTCATTTTAAGTTCAGCGAAAAACGCAATGGACTGATTATTGATTATATTGATTATATCAATTGCCTTCCGATGATCGATTTTCATCGATTGGGCCGGCCAGAAGTGAATAACCTACTGTTATTACACGACTCGGGCAGTCAGAGGGCCAACTACTAAAATCAACCAATCAAAATGCTCTATTGCCGGTCAATATTCTCTCAGTATTGGACCGGGCACTGTCCCAAATGGTCCTGAATGATACCGCACTTGTGTCCTTTTGAACTTCAGTCGTATAATAAATCTCTTATTAACCAAGCTTGCTCGGGACCGTACTGAAAGAATATCAGCCCTCGTTCTTGTTTGTACGGACCTTGCTGTGCTCGGTCCGTACTGTCAAGAACTCGGGCCGACTTTCTCCCAGTACGGCCCTCGCGCTTGGTTAATAAGATATATATACAGTGCAACACTTGAGTTTAACATTCACTTGTCATTAAACGCTTACCTCACGGCTGCGATTCTCTTCTTCCTCAAGTTCCCCTTCTGGTTTAACAAACCGGACGTAAAACACTTTTTTGTTCGGAATTTGAGCCATCTTATTGCAGGATGGTCCGCCGCGTTCTCCCGCTAACACATCGCAAACAAGATCTTTCTCAATTTGGGGCCCGAAATACTTTTGACAGGCGTCCTTGATGTTATGAATAGAAAGCTCTTCCTGCTCAAAAGCAACGTACACCTGAGCTCCAATGCGAGAGTATTTTTGTTGTTTCTCACTTACATCCGCACTCATGCGTTGCACCACGATCTCCTCCGCGACTTTATTCTCCTCTACAACTATATATTTGCCCCTACTCTTTGCTCTCTGCTTCGCTTCAAATTTCCTCCTCTCCGCCATCTTGGAACCACGTGCAAAACTCAGGGCTGGGAGTACCGCAAGGTACGCTGGTAGTGGCAGCACTCGGCCATGCGAAAATTGATTTCACTTTGCGATTGAAAGTGAATGTAAATTCTGGTAAATTCTGGTAAATTCTTTAAAAACATATTTCATTTCAGTAATTACCTACAT